AAACTATGATGAGCCATATAGACAGTTCCTTGTCCTTGCAGAACTGCCAGGACAAACAATGTGAAAGGAAAATAAATCTCAGGACACCAAAATCACTAAGCCAAAGGGAAAACTCAAGCTGGAAACTGCATTAGGCAAACCTACCTCTTATTTTATTCGTAAATTAGATAACTACAAAGATAAAAAAAAAAAAAAAAAAAAAAAAAAAAGCTAAGGACCTCCCTCACAATTTGCCCACAGGGAAATTCCTCGTGGGCCTCAAGATCTTTACCCTAAAACAGTTCTGTTGAATTTCACCCTGGAAATGTAAATAGATAGCTTATCTTCATAGGTGTGAGAGAGAGGACAGAACTCAGTCATTTCTCTGCTCACCTGAGACAAATGAATATCTGGTTGCTTCCTCTGCCCTATTGTCGATGTAAAAATGCAGATTCACTGGGAGAAAGGCATAAATGACTATTCCTCTACCACCCACCTCACCCCTCCCCGACATGTAAATTGTATATTCAGTGAAAGGCTGAGCAAAGACTCAAAAGAATGCAACCAGTTGTCTCTTATCTACCTGTGACCTTGAAGCCCCGGCATCAAATTGTCCTGCCTTTCCAGATGGAACCAATGTACATCTTATACACACTGACTGACATCTCATGTCTTCCTAAAATGTATAAAAGCAAGCTGTATCCTGACCACCCTGGGCACATGTAGTCAGGACCTCCTGAGGCTGTGTCACAGGCACGTCCTTAGTCTGTAGCAAAATAAACCTAAATTGAGACCTGTCTCGATACTTTTGGTCTACACCAACGTATCTATGAGTACCTTACGGAACCCAAGGGCGAGCTCAACTACCAGGCCCTGGGGAGCACAGGAGACAGCACCCACCATAAGTGCCTCTGCTCTAACCACTCCCAGTAACCGCCTGTCAGTTCCTACCACCAGATTTGCTGGAGAGAAACTGACCAGTACAGTTTGAACCACAGGCTTAACCCAGCAAATACCCACTATTATACAATCAGGGGCCACCCAAGGATTAGAAACCCAGTCACTGGACACATAAGTGTCCACCTGTTCCCAAAGAAGGTCAGTCATTGGAAATCACTCCCAGAGCCATAGGCCACATTCCCCCAAAAGGGAAAAGAGGAGAGAAGGAGAGGAAAGAGCTTTTGAAGGACTGTGACTGCTTGGCCAAGGTGTCCGACTCTGATTCTTTAAGGCGTGGTGGGGGATAACTTCTCAATTGGGGCCTGAGTGAATGGAAGGAGTGAGGGTGGGGAGGACATGGGGAAGAAAAAACAGAAAAGAAAAAAAGAAAGAGTCAGTGAACTTGGCCCTTAGACCTTGGAAAACCTTGGGTCTTTGACCACAGTTCCACCTCTGGCACTCAGAAAAAAATAATAATCCTAAATAATAGAAAGTTTTATGTTCAAAAATAATTATACAGAACCATACAAAAAAAGATATCCAATTACTAGGTGGGGGCAAATGTAACTATGGTAGTAATCATGATAGCTAACATTTATTAACCACTTATGATGTTCTAGGCACAGTGTTAAGAATTTGTCACCACCTATTTCATCAGACTTAAGAAGTGAAATAATTGGCTAACATATTATAACAAGTAAAGGGTGGACCCCAGATCTGAACCCAGTTCTGACAGCAAAGCCAACTGTCTTTAGCACCACAGGGTACTGTGCTACAGCAACTGCACTGTACAACATGAACAATGGCAACTGTCAAAAGTACATAGTAATACGGGGAAAGATTATGAAAAAGTATTCCTTGAATAAAGGCTACAAAATTATACATAAAGAATGGCTACAAGTTGGCCAGGCATGATGGCTCATGCCTGTAAACCCAGTACTTTGGGAGGCCAAGGCAGGTGGATCCACCTGAGGTTGGGAGTTTAAGACCAGCGTGACCAACATGGAGAAACCCCATCTCTACTAAAAATACAAAATTAGCTGGGTGTGGTGGCATATGCCTGTAATGCCAGCTACTTGGGAGGCTGAGGCAGGAAAATCGCTTGAACCTGGCAGGTGGAGGTTGCGGTGAGCTGAGATACTGTCATGCACTCCAGACTGGGCAACATGAATGAAACCCAGTATCAATAAAGAAAAAAAGAATGGTTACAAGCATGAGCTCCCTGCCAACACACACACACACACACACACACACACACACACACACACAGAAGTTGGCTAGGGGTATCAGTCTGGGTTCAGGAAAGAGTAAGCACTACAATAATTTGAACAGGAAAATATTAATAGAAACATGTATCAATTATAATAGGGGACTGTAGTCCCCTACAGTTATAAGAAACTACCTGTAAAAAGAAAAAAGAGCCGGGCGCGGTGGCTCAAGCCTGTAATCCCAGCACTTTGGGAGGCCAAGGCGGGTGGATCAGGAGGTCAATAGATCGAGACCATCCCGGTCAACATAGTGAAACCCCGTCTCTACTAAAAATACAAAAAATTGCTGGGCATGGTGGCACGTGCCTGTAATCCCAGCTATTCAGGAGGCTGAGGCAGGAGAATTGCCTGAGCCCAGGAGGCAGAGGGTGCGGTGAGCCGAGATTGCGCCATTGCACTCCAGCCTGGGTAACAAGAGCGAAACTCCGTCTCAAAAAAAGAAAAGAAAAGAAAAGAAAAAAGAATGCTAAATAATACAAGAATAGCAGATATAAGAGGCAGCCACTAACTAAAGGACTGAGATAGAGGACCTAAGGTCCCAGATACCCTTAAGCCAGGGGAAGTCGGTGCAGAAAAAGCTGTGTGTGCCGCAGTAGCCTAGCACTGAATGCAAACGCTGTTTAGAAAAATATGGGAAACAAGGAGGTTTTATCTATACCAACTGACTTTAGAACCAACATCACACACTGCCTGGCACAGATACCCAGCTATTTTCTACATATGTGTCTGAGCACCCCAGGTGGGAGATACCATTTTAGAGAAAGGATTATGTTTCATCCTCCTCCTCTAGCCAACCTGATGAGTTCAACAACAACTTACTTTTGAATAGAATATGAACTCTGAAGGAAGACTCCTATTAATCTGTGCCTTTTTTCCATTACATTTTCAGTCTATTTTTTTTACTGTAAAAACAAAAATAATGCTTATTAAAGAAAATACAAAGGTTAAACAAAAGGAGAAAAATAACCATATTCCTGCTACCCAGAAATTATCATTATTAGTAGTTTGGTATATGTTTTATACCAATAGTTTTTTTTTTTTCTTTAAACATAGATGTATAGACATCATATCCTACATGCAATTTCATATCCTGATTTTTTTTTCCTTATAAAAAAGCATTTCTCCATATTACTCTGAATGTGCCCAATCTCGTCTGATCTCAGAAGCTAAGCAGGGTTGGGCCTGATTAGTACTGGGATGGGATTCCACCTGGGAATACCGGGTGCTGCAGGCTTTTGGTTTTCTTTTCTTTAAAAAGCATTTCTCCAACTCCTCATCAACTCTTTAAGAATTAATGGTGAGTTATTCTCTATAGAAAATGTTTACATTGATATTGAAACTCCCTTAAATGCTAACTGCACAATATCTCTTTCTGAAGATTTTAGGTAGTTTACTTAACCACTTCCCTTTTGGCACTCTGAGGTTCTATTTTATTTTTCCTATTATAAATAATCTCATAATGAGCATCACCGTACTTCATATTATCTCGGGTAGGTCTATTTCTGACGATGGCTGTCCCAGGTGTGAAATTACCAGTTTAGATGCTACAAATACACGTTTATGGCCACTGAGCAAAACTTAAGATCACCAGGCATCCCTAACCCAGGAAACTGGTAGCTTTCCCTTTTTCAACAGGACACAAACCCGAAGCTCCTTCTATGCCCTTTAGTACTATGAAAATAGGAACACTTGCTCACCTATCACCTAACACATCCTCCGCTCTTCCCTGCCCATAAAACGCTGCCCAGCCCTAAATGACTACACTACCCTGGGCTAGTCCCATCACCCTTCGGACCTCATCTGTCCCCATGTTGCCCAGTTGGAAGGTGGCATGACTGAAGTGCTGGACCAGAGGATCCCCTGCAGCCCTTCCTGGAGGGGAGGTGGTGCCCTGAGCGCCGAAACCAAGCGCAGGGGCTTGGCAGGGCGCAGTCGCTTCGCCGACAGACCCGGGGGCTCGAAGCCATAAACCACAGCTTGGAGCTCCAGGGAAGGCCCAAGACACCGCAGCCCTTCCCCATCTCGATCCCGAGATTGGCCCCCGGCCCCCACTTTCAGCCTTCTCTCCATCTCCCCTGCAGCTCCCTCCTCTTGACCGCGGCTCACCTAGTCCACCCTCCAGACCTCAGCCGGACTTCCCACTCTTCCCTGTGGAGGGGGCGCCCAAACCCCTCGGGGTCTCCTTTCCCACTCTCCTTTTCTTTCCGTGCCGTCCAAGCTAGTCCCAGTCTCCACAGTCTGGAAGTTCCCGGCTACCGCCAATACTGCGACCACCTTGCAAGATCGCCCATCACCTCCACATGTCTTTCCACTTATCTGCATGGGGTTGTCCCTCTGTCTTTCCCGCCATGACTGGCTTTCCGTCCTGTCTCACCACCCTCCCTCCCATGTGTCCGCGAGTCCTCTGGTCCTGGCCCCTTCGTTGGATTCGTCCGCCCCTCTCGCGAGCACCTCTGTCCCCTTTAGGTCCCTCATATGCCGCTCCTCCAACTGTGTCCCTCGGCGTCCCCGCCCGCGTCTCTACTTCTGTCTGTCCCCGACTGTGTTCCTCTGTTCCTGGAGTCTAGCCCTCGGTCCAGCCAGGCCTCTGCTCTCCATCCCTTCCCGGGACCGGAGACTCGGCGGCCCGGTTCCCAGTCCTCGCCGGGGTAACTCTTTCCTCTTCCACTTTCTCTACTTTGAACCCATCCCAGCAGAGTCCAGGAAGTAGCCTGGCGCCGGAGACTGGCGGCGGTGACACCCAATGGGACGCGCCAGCGGCAGCGGCGGCCCCGCCCAGAGAGCAAATGCGGCCAATGGCCGCGTGAAGGCGGGACTTCCGCTGTCCCGCGGAGGGCGGGGGGAGCGAACTGTTGTGGTGCGGCGCGTTCGGCTGGCGGCGGCCAGGCGGCCCAGGGGCTGCCGCGGGACTCGGGGAGCAGCCCAGTGGCTGCAGGGGTGGAGTGGGCCGGACGAGCCGCGGGGCCCGGGCGCCGCGGGTTCGAGGCCGGGCCCCGCGCGAGGAGGCCGCGCCACCCCGGGGGAGCTGCCCGGCAGCGAGTTTGCCCCGCAGCCGAAAGAAGGCGGGAGCCGGCGGGGGCCTTCGAAACCCCCTGGCAACGTGGGCCCGGAGTCCTTGGGGAGCGGCTGCTTCCCGGGACGCTCTCCCGGACGCCCCTGCGGCAGGGTTACGGTTCTGGGCCCCCGGCAGAAGGCGCCTCCGGGTGACCCCCGGCGGGGCCCTGCGAGCCGTGGGAGCCGACCCCGGGGCCTCGAGCGGGGAGGAAGGGGGCTTCCGGAGGCGGAGGGCCGGGGGCCGAGGGAGCCGGGCCTCTCGGTCGCGGGGCAGCGCAGCGCCCGGGCTGGAGACGGACTCTGGGACCCTCGGGTGCGGGGGTCTCAGCGACCTGCCCCGCGGCGAGCGCGGCTGCGGAGTGGCCTACCGGGGACCCTCCCCCAGAGGAACCGGCCCGGGGCAGGGAGATGAACGGCTTCAGCACGGAGGAGGACAGCCGCGAAGGGCCCCCCGCCGCCCCCGCCGCCGCCCCGGGCTACGGCCAGAGCTGCTGCCTCATCGAGGACGGCGAGCGCTGCGTCCGGCCCGCGGGCAACGCCTCCTTCAGCAAGAGGGTCCAGAAGAGCATCTCGCAGAAGAAACTCAAGCTGGACATCGACAAGAGCGTGAGTCTGCCCCCGCCCGGGTCTGGGCCCCGGCGCCCCCACCCTCTCCGGCCGCTGCCGCGGGCTGCGGGCTAGACTCCCTGGGCACTCCCCGCCTTGGGCCTCGCCGCCCCGGGTCTGCAGAACTGAGGAGTTGGACTCGGCATTTCAAAGGCCGCTCCGGTGCTGACATGCTCTGACTGTGATTCTGCCGGGATCGGGAGGATGGGGGCGGGGGCTTCGGGACTCCTGCTGCCTGGGAAGATTCGACAGCAGTTTCCAACTTGTTTTATTGGTTTAGATTTTATAGCTGGGAGATGTGGGTTAATTTTGTTGGCCCTTGAAGGAGCAAGAGTCGGAGAAGGGGTGAAGACACCCGGCTCTTTTCCAACTTCTCTCTCCTTCTAGGAACCCTGTTATTCCTTCAGACAGAGAAAGGTGGCAGATACTTCCCTGGCTCCCGCAGCCTCGGCATCTGCAGAGTGTCACCGAGCTAGCTGCTTCGCAGGCAGCTGTGGGAATGGGTTTTTCTAGGATGTGGCAGAAATAAGGCCAAGGCCAGGTCTTGGGAAATGGCTCTTGCAGTCGATTTGACTGGAGGGGGAAGAAAAGACATCAATTTTCTTAGTGGTAGTTTCTTTTGAAGTAAGGGGGTGGAGATTTAAATTTAAATAGAATTGCCCTGCTCTTTGTGCCTTATTATAGGAAACTTCTTCTGTGTGATTTCTCCACTTCTAGTTAACAGTTCTGAAGCTGTGCCTATTGTCAACCAATTAAGAACTTTTTAGTTTGGCATCTGTTGCTGCAAGCCTTAAGTGATTGATTCATGATTAGGAACTGGAAATGAATTAAGGGGGTATTTAATATTCAGGCAGACTAAGAGCTTAGGTGGTTAACATCCATTCTCTTTTAGAATCAAAATTTTTCCACACTTGGAGGAAATCAGAGACTGCTTGTTAAACTGAAAAGGAGTGCACGTTTCCTCTCTGATTTTAGGGTTGAAACAGGCCCCGAGATAGAAGTGAGGGTGTCCGATACACACGGCACCTAAGAGGCTGGTTAATTTCTTAAACATATTATCTGATTTACGTCCAAGCCCTATACGTAACTCTTCATTAAGTCTCCACTAAATACAAAATCTCCCCTGTCCCTTTTTTTTGGAGACAAAGTCTCACTCTGTTGCCCACACTAGAGTGCAGTGGCAAGATCTCAGCTCACTGCAACCTCCACCTCACAAATTAAAGCAATTCTCCTGTCCCAGCCTCCTGAAAAGCAGGGATTACAGGCATTTGCCACCATACCTGGCTAATTTTTTTATTTTTAGTGGAGATGGGGTTTTGCCATGCTGGACGGGCTAACCTTGAACTCCTGACCTCAAATGATCCACCCTCATAGGCCTCCCAAAGTGCTGGGATTACAGATGTGAGCCACTGTGCCTAGCCCCCTGTCCTTTGTTCAGACTCTTCCCTCCTACCCCATTTTAAGTTAATCGTTATAGTACATTTGCAGCTCTTGCATGGACAGGTGCTATTTTTAAGTGGTTGGGAGAAAGTTAATGACTTTTCTTACTACAGCTCTCTATCAATGAATGCATGAATGGTGATTACCTAAGAACAAACATGGAGCTAGACACCAAGGTGGTCCCTCATTAGGTCACATGATGAGGTGAAATACGGCAATGAATTCATCCTCTTCCTAACACTGGCTACCTTCTGTGTAGGTTCTTAGAAGTAAGCTGCTTTACTTGAGCAGCTTATAATAATATTTTCCAAGAAATAGAATCTTCCATCCCTTTTAGACCACTAGATCCCTTCCCATCTGGATGATTTTGCTACTGCAACTGGGGCTCCTTGTATTTACCCATTGACTCTACTAGAAAACCTGTGTTGAGCTATGCTGATCATTTCACACACACCGTCTAGAAGAAAGGCAGCCCGAGCCTAGCACTAGTGTTCCCAAAAGTAATACTTCTGAAGGAGTCAGGTTTCCAGGTGGAATCACTCACAATTTGTTTTAAGGTGGTGTGAAGTCATTATTTCTGAAAGGGATTTTGTTTTTCACAGGCTTGGGCAGGAATTCAATTCCAAGTAACTGCTGTGTTAAAAGAATTTTTAGCTGTTGCAGAAAGTGAAGGAAAAAAAAAAAACCACTAGAGCCTTTGCTACCACTCTCCTGCCCCCACCCCACTCCCAAAGGCCACTGAGCTCTGAAATTTCTGAAAACCAATATGTACTTGAACATGGTTAAGGAGAATATGATTATTTATCTTGTAAGAGAGTCTAGCAGAGAACCTTCATAAATAACAGCACCAAGAATTCAACTCGGGCTGTTTAACTCATGTTATGTAGAGTTTGGCAGTGTTCTGTGATCTATTAAAATATTAATATACCTCCAGTTAACATATCCCTGCTTTTTTTTTTTTTCTGGAGAAAAATGAAAGTTGAGAATAGTATAAAGGAAAATGCTGGGGTAGGAAGAGACATGTACTCGGGGGCAGAAGGCCTGGGTGACCTTCACCAGGTTATTTCGTCACTCTGGATGGCTTCATTTTACCCGTCTAGAAAATGGGATCGGGGTCAATGGGATTCCACTAGTGATTGCTAAGTTCTTTTACAGCTAAGATTCCATTCTATTGTCCTGATCTGAAATCTCCCAGCCAAAGCTTTCGGAAGCCACCTATTCTCCCTGTTCTGTTATAAAGTTTGTTACTGTGAACTTGAGCAGTTGATCTGAGTGGACAGCTTCCTCTCAGGGATGCAGAATGTGCTTTGCTGTGCTTTCTTCCTGGAGAAAAGCATGTCCAGTAGTATATACATCAGCTAGGTGGGATTCTTTGGGACAGTGGCATGTGCTGTGTTTGAAAGTCCTTTGACAGAGTTCAATCTGGCAAAGCCATCCCAATTTGTAATCATGTAAATGGTGGCTTTCATTAGCCTAAGCCACTTTTAGATATAGGGGACTGCCTATATTGGCGCATCAGCATTTCTTGAGTACCTGTTGTCTGCAAGACACCATCACGGTATAAACTTAAAAGTACTCATGACTCACTAATCCAGCCACATTGAAAGTGATCATTCATCTGAATAAATAAATAAACAATTTTCATTATTTTCTCCATGAAAAGGTCTGAATTAGTTGATGCTGATTTCCTGCCAGCTTACTTTTATCTTTAAGGATTTAAGGAATAAACTCAAATTCAGAGTCTCTGCAGAACATTTGTGCAACAGCTGTTTCAGTATCAACAACCCCAATCCATTTACCGGGCATTCAGTTTCTGTAAGGTTTTTCAGTGGTTCCTCCAGCTAGCCCTGGAGGATTCTTCATGTTTTAGCCGCTGTCGCCATCTTCACTTACTAGTGTGCCTCCAGCTTGCATTAGAAAATCTGTAGTATCCACCTTCTTTATGTGGTTCTACCTTGTAAGAATTTCCACATCTTTTTCCACATTTCTTTGTGGATCAGATGTGAGGTAATGCAAGAATTATGACACATGGAAACAAAGTTTTTCAGAGAGTTGTTATCCTACAAAAGTAGCTATTATCAGTATAAAAATAGGGTGTCCCAAATACATCGCCACAGTCCCTTCTTTCCTGCTTTCCTCCTCCCCAGGACAATGCATTCCAGCCTACTGTAAGTTCATGACTCCTGCAGGCCTTCTGATAATGTCACATCACTCCCTGCTTCCTTGAGGGACTCTTTCTTATCTAAAGGAAAGTCCAAGCTGTTCTCATGTCCTCCCCCACCCCTAGATGCCTCACTTTTTCCTAATCTTTTACATGTCACCCAACTGACACTGTGTACCCTGGGCCTCTCCACTCATTCTTTCTGTCATCCTCATTGGAAACTCTAAATCTTGGCTCTCCTACCCATCTGGAATGCTTCCTGTCTGCCTAAAGTCCTCTTTTTCAGTCAGGGCCCTTCACCCGGAACATCTCTGTTGCAGGGATCTCTTCCTTTGCCGAATCATTTACGGTCTTCATGATACAGTGGAGGCTTGGCGTATGATACACCGCCAAGTGTAATGTTAGCATCCACTTTGTGTTCTTTTGCTACTCAGTAGTGAGCTTCTGGGAATTATCGCCTACATCTTCCATCTATCTCTCCAGTGCCTTCCAGTGGAAGAAAGCCCACAATTTAACAGATACCTGTTGCTGTTTCCAAGGAATTGGCCAACTCTGACTTTGATTTTCTTTCCATTAGGTAAGACACCTGTATATCTGTGATTTTCACAAAAATTTCATCCAGAGTGTCCGAAATAAAAGGAAGAGGAAGACAAGTGATGATGGTGGAGATTCTCCCGAGCACGACACTGACATTCCTGAGGTAAAGGTCGAAGAAATCAGTTTGCAGAAGCTGGAAGAATGGATTCTAATCTGATCCTCACCTCTGACCTGGGTCTACTTTTTGTGTTAAGAAGTAATTTTAGTCCCCTTTGTTTGGCTGTGGATTCTTATCTGAAAAGTGAATTACAGTAATAGGGAATCTGAGAGCTAAAAGCTTGGACACCAATTGGTCAGACTGCTCCATCATTTTACAGACAGGCATACAGAGCTGTGGGCATGTATATAGTTTGGAGGCTCTAGTTTAGGGCCCTTTCCAGTAGACCACGTTGCCTTTCTGCAAGACACCCCTGACCAGTGCGTAAATACAACCACAGTGTCACCTTTTGTTGAAACCCTGTTTGCCTGTAGAGAGTGTGTAATGGTTCGGGAGAAGTCTCTTCCCTTCTTTTTTCTGCTCTGTGAAATGCAGGTGTAAGTCGTCAGTTCATACCAACTCTGATTTTCTCTCACTGATTTCTTGACACCTAGTCCAGACTGTTCGCAAGGATCCATTTCAAAGTTGGTTAAACTGGACCTGGTTTTCTCAACCCTAGCACTGTTGACATTTGGGGCCAAATAATTTTTGTTGTGGGGACTGTCCTCTGCATTGTAGGATATTTAACAGCATGTCTCAGCAGCATCCCCTCATGGGATTCTACCTATCACCCTGAGTCATGATAATCAAAACGTATTTCCAGACATTGCCACACATCCTTTGCAAGACAAAATCGTCCTATGTTGAGAACCACTGCGCTAGACCATGAGAACTAGGCTTCTAAAACCGGAAGGCTGCATTCCCTTCAGGTGCCGGTGTCTATTAAGTGAGGATTCAGGAAAGAATATTGGATTTTCTTTCTACTAAATTGTTTTCACTCAAGACTCAGCAAAAGAAGAACCGTTTATAGTGTACATTGAATATTTGACACATGAATATTTCATAAGGCAACCGCCTGTTAGCACTCAGAGTGAAAATGACTGTGTAGGAATAGAAAGAGTAGGCGGGCCTTTGTCTGCAGATGTGGAGGAAACCTTTGAAAATCTGGCCCTTTCCCTCTGCCCCTCCCTGTGTCCCCTTTTCCAACATTGGTTTACAAAATCTTTGCTGTTGCCTTTAGCATCGTTGTTATTTTATAAAGAAAGGGATGTATTCGATTTCTAAATGGTTTTCACAAAAAAAAAAAAAAAAAAAAAAAAAAAAAGGTTTTGAGGAATGTTTTGAAAAGAATGAAGGACTTTGGCCCCTCATATTGATCATTCATTTTGTTTTTAAGTGCTCTCCACCTGCCTGAAGCAAGAACAGCTCTTTTAGAGGCAGGTAAAGGCAGCCCAACTTTCTGGGCCTTCAATTTTTCATGACTATGCAGCTTTCCTGTCTTCCTTTGTTAGAAAAAAAAGGGGGGGTCCCTTCCCCTCTGTTATCAAGTCATCTGCAAAGATCCCAACCCTAACCTGCTGGTTTGCATATTCACTACAGTAGCTTTTGAACTTTCTCTGGAGGGAGGTTAAGGATTCTAACACCTGAAGGCTGGGCCTAGGAAAGAGCTGTCTGAGGATTACAGTTCTTCCCACTGCCCTCATTTGTGCCCCTCTATCCAGTCACTGCCTTGTTCTGGCCTGTCTCTTTCCAGGATATCTCTGGTTTTGCCTTTACTCTCCATCTTTGGTGTCCCTTCTAGCATCACTGCCCCTCCAAAGCTCATCCTCTTCTTTGCGTTCTGATTGTTGCTATAGCATCTCCCTTTGCATCCCCTCATCAGTCTTCCCAACCACCACCACCAGAACCATCCTGCACTATCACCCTCCACCCTCTGTGATAGCTCCTTCTGTTTTTTTAGACATGCTACCATCCAGTCTCACCTTTTAAACCCATCTCAGTTGCCTGTGACCCCCTGGCCCATCTGTGCCTCTTCCAGCTGCCTGTGCTCTGATTTTCTCCCTCATTCCCTACCCTGTTTCTCAGTGCCTTACCAGACCCTGCCCCTCTTTAGCTTAGCTTCACCTTCACCAGTTTTGTGAGATCAGCCCACCCCAGCCAGTTCCACTGTTACTTTTGCCCTCCTAGCCAGTTACTAGTCCTTAATAGACCATTTCTAAGACCTCTTTTGTAGCCCTCCCCATCCTCACCCCTACCAAGTGTAGTGCTAGGCACATAGTGGGCTCTTGGTAAGTCCTGGTTGGTCAGGTAATAGATAACATTTTTCTCCTCTTCTTCGTAGGTCGATCTGTTCCAGCTGCAGGTGAATACCCTACGACGTTATAAACGACACTACAAGTTGCAGACCAGACCGGGCTTCAATAAGGCCCAGTTAGCAGAAGTAGGTAGACAAAATTGCCCTCTAAAAAGAGCCAGCATTGTGCTGCTTCTGATGGTAACCCTGATTCTCCCTTACTGTGTGTGTCTGCTAAGTGTAATCTCCAGAATTCTGGAAGCAACTCGGTATTCCTCTTTGGCACAATTTAGAACCCCACAGCTTTAAACCTGCGAAGGCCTCAGTTCCAGAAAAGAAACCATGGCAGAGAAAGAGGAAAGGGCTTGCTTAAAATCACACAGCAGGCCGGGCATGGTGGCTCACACCTGTAATCCCAGTACTTTGGGAGGCCAAGGCAGGTGGATCACAAGGTCAGACAGACTTTGTGCAGTCACACAGTCTAGGGTCACTGCAGCCCCAAACTCCCAAGTGATCCTTCCCACCTCAGCCTCTAGATTAGCTTAGACCACAGGTGCATACCACCATACCCAGCTAATTTTGTTTATTTTTGTAGAGATGAGGTCTCACTGTGTTGCCCAAATGATTCTCTTGGGCTTAGGCGATCCTCCCACCTCAGCCTCCCAAAGTGTTGGGATTACAGGCGTGAGCCGCTGTGCATGGCTTAGGAAGATTCTTTATAGATATGATCATTTTTGCACGTCAGATGTGTCAGATTAATCATTCCAAAACCTTCCTGATGTTCTGCAAGAGCTATTTTTCTTTTTTTTCTTTGATTTCCCCTTGGTGTTGGTAATGAAAGTATTTTAATGAATGGCACCCAAGAAAGTCTTCTCCTGCCCTGGGTTCTTAACACAGTCTGAAGTAGGGGAAATGCTCCATTGGCCACTTTTAAAATACATGAACAGCCTGGCTTGACAATTCCATCCTTGGCATTTGTACAGGTATTCTCTCATCCCTCTTTTCTTTCTTCATCACTCTTTTCTTAATGTATTTTTCTGCCTATTACTGTTGAAAAGTTGGAAAATGGAGAAAAGAAAAATATAATTCTATTATCCAGAGATAACCACTCTTTATGTGTAGTAGTCTGTCATCTTTTACCTGTTTCAACTACCTTGATCCATTGAGATTTCCTGAAAGGCTCCCAGCCCGTTTCATTTTTGGTTTTTCCTGTAGAGGTTTCTTGCTCAGCTGTCACTTAAACAACTTCTTCAACAGTGTCCAGATGACAAAGAGGAGGTCACAAGCCTCTTCTGCTTCAAGATAACATCACCCATTTGCTGGTGTTCTCCCTAGTGGAAGGGAAAGAATGAAGTGGGGCAAGAGGAGACCTGGATTCTCATTACTTACAGAATGAAGTATTAGGAATATGTAGTAAATGATGCATTTTCCTTCAAATCCAGTGTGTCTTTCAAGAGGCAATTATGTACTATTTAGAGGAATTTAGGGGTTCAGATACCTCTGTTCAATTTGCTCAGTTGGCTCTTCATTTAACACAATTTTTTTTAAAGACCAGAGTCTTGCTCTGTCTCCCAGGCTGGAGTGCAATGGCGTGATCTCAACTTACCGCAACTCCGTCTCCTAGGTTCAAGTGATTCTCCCGCTTCAGCCTCCCAAGTGGCGGGGATTACAGGTGCCTGCCACCACACCCAGCTAATTTTTGTATTTTTAGTAGAGACGGGTTTCATCATGTTGGCCAGGCTGGTCTTAGACTCCTGACCTTGGGTGATCTGCCTGCCTTGGCCTCCCAAAGTGCTGGGATTACAGGTGTGAGCCACCACGCCTGACCTAACACAATTTTTATGTTTTTGAGACAGTCTCACTCTGTCACCTAAGCTGGAGTGCAGTAGCGCAATCACAGCTCACTGCAGCTTCAACCTTCTGGGCTCAAATGATCCTGTTACCTCAGCCTCCTAAGTAGCTGGGACCACAGGTACAAGCTACGAAACCTGGCTAATTTTTTTTTTTTTTTTTTTTTTGTAGCGATGAGTTCTCCACTAAGTTGCCCAGGGTGCTCTCAAACTCTTTGCCTCAACTCATCCTCCCGCCTTAACTTCCAAAGCATTGAGATTACAGGTGTGAGCCACCATGCCTGCCTGACAATTTTTAAGAGACACATTTCTGCCCACTTTCAAGGCCTTAGGGATTTGGTAGCAGCCAGCCAACCAGTGCAGTCCCCATCTCTCCTCCATGAGTATGATCATGAAATCATGCCATGACAGGTGGTTGGCTGCCACTGAAATAGAAGTGCACCTTGGAAGAGTTGTGGGTTAAAAAGCCACTTTCGGATCCTGGAAATTAAACCACCTACATCCCTGGGGAGGAAAGGCAAAGGGCATTCTGAGTTCTGCACACGGCAGCAAGTTCTGTAGCAGTTGTAATTCCCACCACAGCATGCAAGCAACTCCCTGTTTGCTTTATCCGATGTAGAATTTGCAGTGTGATTTATGCATGGTTTAAGGAACTTTGGTTTTTCCCCCCTCCCCACGCATAGACTGTGAGTCGACACTTCAGGAACATACCTGTGAATGAAAAAGAGACCCTTGCCTACTTCATCTACATGGTGAAGAGTAACAAGAGTAGACTGGACCAGAAATCGGAGGGAGGCAAGCAGCTTGAGTGAGGATGAAGCACATCTTAAAGGAATGAAGTGTAATGCTTGATGCACAGGTGATAATCTGCTACATTTAAGCCCATAAAGACTGTTAAATATTATTGTAAATAAAAAAGTTTGAATGATGGATACTGTAAATCTTTTTGGTCAGGAGGATTATATTCTCATGATTTAGCATGTGTATAGAAAGACTGTCTTTTAAAATAACTGGACTAAGAAAACAGGATCATTAAAAGAATTAAAAACTATGTTATTTCAGCATTCAGCAAAGCATTAAGTCAATTCTACTGGAAATGTCTTTGGTAATCACCTTATCCACCAGGCTGCCACGTGTGAGCTGTAGCTTGGAATAGCAGCAAAGTGCAATTGACAGTGGAAGTGCATGAGCAGACAGAAGTCTGGACTTGCATGCTGCCCGCTGGCGTTAGAGCTATCCCGCCAGCTTCGTTGCAAGCTTTGTCGTTTATCAGCAGATCAGCTTGACACTGGTCCCCCTCTCACCCTGTGCCTTGTACACAGGCACTCAATCAGTATGTATTGGCTAATTGAGCTGTCACTAACAGTGCCAGCCTTGTAACGTCTGCTTCACACCTCATTGCTGAGACCTCTGCCATTTCTGTTGCTCACCACCTCACTGCTAGAACGTGGAGGAAACCCTGATGCACCGACAGGGATTTCAGGACAGTTGCATGTGCAAAACTGTATTTGTTGAGGTTCCAGAAACAGTGATGTAGAGACCCTCACAGAAGATGTGGTCCCTTATGTACCCCACTGTGCTTCACTCTTTGGGGTACAGTTGGATATTAGGACTTCAGCCAAGCAATAAATGCATTGACACACTGACATTTAGTGGTTTTTGGCAAGTGTTTTCAGAAGTATTCATCCTAAGTTCACAACCACCATGCAAGCTGCCAGGGGCCATGTGATTCCCGCCCGAAAGTCCAGCTTAGGATTGAAAGTCTGGCTGGCCTTGACTCCCTGGGCTCTGGTCATCAGCAAATCATGAGTTTGGGCAACAAAGGTCAATTCCATCTGATGCTCATTTTTGTGAACAATTTGCCTCCATCCCTCTTAGGGAGAAAGATTGCTAAAATAATTTTTGGAAATACCTAATTTGTTGTTCAAAAAGTTGAACTGCTCAAGCTGATTATATCAGAGCCAAAGTATCCTGTGAAAACAAAGCTTTATATCCAAAAACATGTTTTTGCAAAATTCTCTAAATCAGTGTAAAGGAGGACAAGAGGGTGTGAGGTAGGAGGGTGGGAGAAAGAGAAGAAAAGGATTTAGATTCCAATTTATGACCGTCTTGACATATGGTCAAAGGTGTCATTTTCCTAGTCAGTTTCAATTCTGAGTTATTTCTTAAGCCTTAAATAATAAAAAGAACAATGGACACCCTGGCCTGGCAGAGAGTTTCACAGATGGCTTAATCTGAGCACCACCTCAGTCAGAACTAAACCCCTTACTGAGCACGGTGGCAGAGTGTCCAAAGGTCTCAGTTCTGTGTAGCAGAGTACCATGCTTTCTGTGGAATAGGGACAGGGTCACCACTCCCACCAAAATGCAGCATATTCCATTGCAGCAAAGCTTTTGTGTTCAAAATGCATGTCAAGCAGATTGCAGCCTTTTAAATTAAATATGTATAAATGAGTGTATATAGAATATGCTCTGGACTGGAGAGGATCCTATTTTGGTGTGCCTCCTGGCTGTGGATGGCATGTTCCAGTGCTCTGTGAGTGTTTTCAGTCATTCATATTCACTGTGTGCTTGGAGATTCTCTCCCCACTTACAGCTGAAGGATGTTGATACAGGTATCAAGAAGACTCCAGGGGCTAGAGTTGAGGGGCACATGGGGCCTGCAGGTTAAGGCGTCATTAACTTGCTTCATGGAAGTGTCCATGTCTTAATGAGTAAAAAAGTGTATTTTTCTGATATGTAAACCAGAATTGTGAGCATGTAGGTCACATCCCTATTTCTTTAGCAGCAAATCTGTTTTCCCAGTTGAGAGAGACAATAGCTTCTGCACAAGAATATGTGGTGGTAGGATCCATCTGTTCAAGCATGTCTGAAAGAATCTTTGTTCCAAATCTAAACCTGGGGAAATATTTCACCTTCAGCCAGATGCCGTGTTGTTGTCTTTCCTCTAAGGAGAGGTGCTTGTGGAAAGTGGAGGTTGTGGTCATCCTTTCAACCTTTTAAAACACTTCAGGTAAGAGAAAAGACAAAATTATTTGAACCTATGTTTTTCTTACGTGCAGAAATCTGTTCTTTCATCAAACCACTAAACCACCTGCCTTAGCCTCTTCTGCAGTTTCTGGTGGCTTTATCTTTGGGCAAAGGACTCCTGCCTGTGAGAAGTGGCCAGGCCCTCCAGAGCAACGAGGTCTGGCTTCAGGGAGCAGTGGGGTGTGGGGAAAGCAGTGCTCATCTTGGCTGCTGCATTTTTACACCACCCATCAAGGACTCGAGCTTCTCTCCACCTGTGACGTAGCAACATTGCCTTCTTTCCTGTTGGTGCTCCTGGGCAAAACTGGAATTTGAAATCCAGAACTGGCATTGTCTTCTTAAAGAGTATGGTTCCTGCCTCAGTTCCAGCCTGGTGTGGGTCTTTGATATGCCCTCAGGGTTCTCACATGGAACCATCAATAGCCTACCGTTCATGTCGTTTTAAGATTTTTAAAAACCAATGGACAAACTTCTTACTTCAAGGAACAGGTTGGCAATAGCATGTAAAAAAGATCATAGCTGAATCTCATAAAAGATTGAAAACCAAAGGATTCAAGACCAGTGTTGTAAAATGAAGAGAAATATTACTACGTGTGTGTTACAGCTGCCAAGTCGTTAGATGTTCCTGTCATAGCTAAATAGTCACTGCTAGCCTTTCAGAGAACAGATAGTAACAGTTGTTTGCAGCTGCAGTGTTGCATCTAATTTTGGTGTTTTGGCTCTTTATTTTGTGGGAGTTTTTTTGTTAGTATCCTGCAGGGCAGTTGCCTGGTGGAAGGGAAGGGGTGGGAGAAGGAACTTACTCTGGAGGCCTTGCCTATTGAGGGAGGCTATACCTGGTGTAGATCCCAGAGCAGTGCTTCATGGAAGTCATCCAAAGGCACTGTCCATCGTTACAATGACAAAATCTCAAAAGTTGAGAAAGAGCTGTTAAATCACCCAATCTAGGCTCCACGTAGGTGCTGACATTCTGCCTACAGCTGCCCCACCAAGGAGTTGAGCAGTCTGGACTTAAACACCTCCGAAGACAGAGAACCCACTACCTCCCGGAGAAGCCTGTGCTTTGTAAACCTCTGGCTTTCTATGTTCTCCGTAATTTCCATCTTAGTCTCTGCCCCATGGGGGCCACCTGGGACAAGTCATTTTTGGCAAAGCACCTAATTGCTGGCACTGTTCCAGGGCATAGCGTTTGCCTTTTGGAAATAAGCAGTGCTAGGACATGGACACTTTGGTGTCCTGTCCTTACCCCTGAGTATCAGTCCACTCAGTTGCTTGTTGGAGAATACTGAGAAAACCTTACTGGCTGGCTTATGCTCACTTGTTCTTGCCAGAGCAGTGCGGGGACGAGAGGGGGATGAGATGTTAGCAGCCTGCTAAAACTCAAGACAGATGAAGACTCAGTTCTGTACCTGCCCCACACAAACGGATGCTCACAGCATCAGGAAAAAGTTCAGCTGGAAGATTTATAACTTTATTGCTTTCCACGAAGTTGAAAGTTCTCATGGTTGCCCAGGGCTTGTACCTTAGACTCCTGTACGGACTTCACACACTGTTTTTACTGGGAAAACAAAGTCTCCGTGTCAGAAAAGTGCTATTATTTTCAAGGTGGAAAGACCTTTAAGCTTGCTGTTGTCCAGTCATCCATTTTTAGAGATGGGAAACTAAAACTCCAAAAGATGTGCCTGAGGTCATATGGCATTACCAGAACAAACCTTGAGCCCTCTTGACCTGTCTAGCATTCTTTCTGACTTACAGGATGACTCTAATTCACTCTAAATCAGCTGCCCTCAGATTCCTGAGAACTTATAATTGAGCAGAAATTCCCAAGGCCAACCTGGCTCTCAGGGACTAACCTGCAGAAAGATTGAGTGGAATGATCCGGCCAGTTAGGTTTAACAAAATGAGTGGTTAGGGAAAATAGATCTAGCCTGTAATTTAAAACCAGGGTTCAAAAGCTCTACTGGGAAATGTAGTATTGCCCTGGCATTTAAATCGTCATGAAATGGGCTTGATCTGTGATCTCTTGGTCAGATCTGCCTTCCAGATGATCCTCTGAGGTTGTATAATGCAGCTGGCCCTAGCTCCTGGTCCCCGTTACTGAGCTGGACCATCAAACTGAAGGTCAGATGAGCTCAAGAGCATGCCTTGGGAAGCATGGTGCTTTAGGGGTGCCTTTTTATTCCTTTCATTGTATTATAGACTGTTTCCAAGTTTATGGTTAAGAATGGTAAATTGGGTTTGGTGATTTGAGGTAGAATCCAGCCTGGGGCAAGATATGAACTTTTCTTGAGGTAGAAATGTCTACAGTCAATTGTTTTACCTAGCTTGCATCTTAAACACAAACCCATCAGTTGCTTTCACTTAATGAACACATTTGCCAATGATAGAGGGTTGTACAGGATCCCTCTTTTACATTTCTATTGTCTGCTGTGCTCATCAGAGTATATTTTGGGGTATGAGGTTTTGGGGTTTTTTTTCCCCCTCCATTTTGTAACTGCCTTATTGAAAAGTAAGTGCCCTTCCATTCCAGGCCTCCTCATATTATACTTGTTTTCTGCCAAATCTGGGGGATCATTTGTATTTTAACTTTGTAATCTATGGCTCTGTACTGTTGAAAGGCTCTCAAGTCTATGGGGTCTCCTTAGTATGTATGTGACTTTTCATGTTGCAATATCACACAGATGGGATGGCCCAACTTTTGCTCTTAATAAACAATCCGAATGAGTAAGAGACCATCTGTCTTCCCTTTGAATTTCTATATAGAATTCAGATGCTTTCACTTCCACATTTGGCCCTGGCAGCGTATTACAGTGATTAATGACAGTGATCTTTCCTCCCAGCTCCAAATACTAGCACCTACATTCCTAGTGTACACTGAGTTTAGATCCCAGAAGATTAAGCCCAAGTTCCAGTCCTGCTATCGCATTCACTCACCTGGAAAGAGCCTGACTGGGTCCAATGGCCTGAGTCTGGAGCTCAACTTCCACATAATGTACTGAACGCCCTTGGCAAAGAGAGTGCTCTCGCTGGGTCTTCAGTTTTCCACATAAATAAACTGGATGGGGAATTCACTGCACATTGAAATACCTGCAGAGGGTGAGCTGCAAACTGGAAAACTCACGTCCCTTCTAAGGGCAGCCACTACCCAGCTCTCTGCTATTGTATCCTTGTGGGCCCACCAGCCCTGTGTGACCAGGTCTTGCAATTTGGCCAGAGGAGCTGGAAATCCAGACCTGCATGTAAACATCCCAATGTTTAAATTTCTCCAAGACAGTTTTAACAGTGTGTGGCCTGGAGTTTCTTCACCTAAAGTAGAGCCTTACTATTTAAAGTTGGTCCACCATCTGGGCACTTGTTGGAAATGCAGCATCTCACAGCCCCTCCTGCCAGCAGTCTACTCAATCAGAATCTGCATAGTAGCACATTCCCTAGGGATACTACAGCTTGAGAAGCCAGGGCAGTATGGCTGCATGTTACTGGTGGAGATCCCCAAGGCCTACCAGATGATGCTGCTCACCTGGCCTCACAGTACTGGAGAAGAGCAAAGGCAAGCCTCGAGTTCAGGCCTCCCCTTTCAACCCTATCTCCAGTGCCACTTTACCACGGCTTTGTCCTCTGCAGAATGAAAATGGAAAAGTACAATAAATATTTGAGTTTATCATGAGTTACATAGAAGCAATACATCTTAGCTCTAAAATTTTAAGCCTCACAGAAATGTTTAAAGTACAGATCGGCCGGGCGCGGTGGCTCACGCCTGTAATCCCAGCACTTTGGGAGGCCGAGGCGGGCGGATCATGAGGTCAAGAGATCGAGACCATCCTGGCCAACATGGTGAAACCCCGTCTCTACTAAAAATACAAAAATTAGCTGGGCATGGTGGTGTGTGCCTGTAATCCCAGCTACTCAGGAGGCTGAGGCAGGAGAATTGCTTGAACCCGGGAGGCAGAGGTTGCAGTGAGCCGAGATCGTGCCATTGCACTCCAGCTTGGCGCCTGGTGACAGAGTGAGACTTTGTCTCAAAAAAAGAAAGAAAGAAAGAAATAAAATAAAGTACAGATCCTCCCCTTCCCACATCCTCCTCCTCTCCCATTCCACTCCCCTGTAAGGAGTCTGGAGGGTGGCTTTTTTTTTTTTTTTTTTTTTTTTTTTTTCTTTTTTGGAGATGGAGTCTTGCTCTGTCCCCAGGCTGTAGTGCAGTGGTGTGATCTTGGCTCACCACAACCTCCGCCTCCCAGGTTCAAGCAATTTTCCTGCCTCAGCCTCTCGAGTAGCTGGGACTACAGTTGTGCAACGCCCAGCTAATTTTTGCATCTTTAGTAGAGATGAGGTTTCACCATGTTGGCCAGGATGGTCTCAATCTCTTGACCTTGCCATCTCCATGGCTTTTCATGAGATATTTGAGAGGACAGGGAGTCCTGGCTCTCACCAAGGAGCTCTCAGAACTAGTGACGGTTTGTTTCCAAAGGACACCATCACTTACAGGTCCCTGAGTTGCTTTTGAAAGCAAAGGCAGTTCCAGTTTTCATATCGTGTTTCTTAGCATAAGCAGTCGCTTCCCCTCCTCTGCCATCCTCCCATTCTTTTATACTGTATCTAACCACAAGGGCCTGTTGTCTCCAAACTCCTCACACACTGAAGGGCAAAGGGGTGCTTTGTCCCCACACTTCCCAAACCTGGCTGACCCCTTGCTGAAGTAAACATCCCGTAAGGATCCACAGATATTAATTTAATGAAAAGATGGAGATGAACCCACATGTTAATATGCTATTAGAACAGAAGTTTCACTAGGAACTGACACCATTTTTTTCTTTTCAAAATAGGGCTTTAGGATATCGAATATCAGATCATCTGAGGTCCGGCGTTTTTGAAAGTGTGGCACTTGCCACCATCTACCCCCATCAGAATCCCCTAAGCACCCTGTTGCAATGCCACTTCCTGGGACCCCATTCCAGATCCTCAGAATGAAAAGCTCAGGGGCTAAGTCTCAGTAATAAAATTTCTCCAGGTAAGAGTTAAGCTCAATAAAGTTGAGGAGCATCAATCTGGTCCAGAGGTTTCCGAATCCCAGTGCAGAGATGAACAGCTTCAGTATCATCTGCTCGAGCTGGGCATGGTGGCTCAGCCTGTAATCCCAACACTTTGGGAGGCCAAGGCGAGTAGATCACCTGAGGTCAGGAGTTCAAGACCAGCCTGACCAACATGGAGAAATGCCATCTCTGCTAAAAATACAAAAATTAGCTGGGTATGATGGTGCATACCTGTAATCCCAGCTACTCAGGAGGCAGGAGAATCGCTTGAACCTGGGAAGTGGAGGTTGCGGTGAGCCAAGATCGTGCCTTTGCACTCCAGCCTGAGCAACAAGAGTGAAACTCTGTGTCAAAAAAAAAAAAAAAAAAAAAAAAAAAAAAAAAAAAAAAAAAAGAAAAAAAGAAAGAAAGAAAAAGAAAATGCTAGTTGAAAGTTCCCCTTGAGATTTCTTTCATGAGAATCTTCTCAAGTGAAGCCCAGAAAACTATGTTTTTATAAAATTCTCTTGGAGGCTGGGTGTGGTGGTTCACACCAGTAATACCAGCAATTTAGGAGGCCGAGGAGGGCGGATCACCTGAGGTCAAGAGCTTGAGACCAGCCTGGCCAACATGGTGAAACCCCATCTCTACTAAAAATACAAAAATTAAAAAAAAATTAGCTGGATATGGTGGCACATGCCTGTAATCCCAGCTACTAGGGAGGCTGAGGCACAAGAATCACTTGAATCTGGGAGGCGGAGGATGCAGTGAGCTGAGATTGCGTCACTGCACTCCAGCCTGGGTGACAGAGCAAGACTCTATCTCAAAAAAAAAAAAAAGAAAGAAAGAAAATCCTTTTGGAAATTTATTTGCACATCCAGGCTTAGGAACCACTGAATCTAACCCCCTAAGGCCTTGGTCAAGAAAGTATTGCAACTATGTTATGTTCAGCACCAAACAGCTCAGAAGTGTCAGAGTCTGAGCAAACAGAGTGACATGCACAGCCACAAAGACACTGTTAAATAATTCAAATGAATGATCTTCATTCTGCATAAAACCAGAGTGAAAATAACCCACCATTCTAGCCCAAGCTGACAAGGAGTAGGACGCTGTATTTACACAGCACTGGGACTGAGTCTTCTGTTGACTCAGCAGTTTTTTTGTCTACAAAGATCTTCCACATTCAGGAATAATAATAGCTATCAAGTACAGAGCACATGCCAGACAGACGATGGCTAATCGTTTTACATGCATTAATTCATTTAATCTCACTGCAATCATATAAAGTAGGAACTATGAACTCCAGTTTATAGAGGTGTAAATACAGTCTCAGAAAAGTTCAGGAACTCACCCAAGTAACGGGGTGAGCTAAAGAGCTAAAAGCACTCCCAGGGTGGATCCTCAAGGGTTGTCTGGCTCCAGGGATACTGCTGTCAACCCCACTGCCAAAGAACTCAGAACGCCAAGCTCTGAAGCAGTGCAGCTACAGCAGTTAGCCTTGTCCTAGTCAACTGGATTTACTAAACTTTAATGAGGGATTCTGAGAAATCACTAGGACTCTAGTTAAGAAATTTAATAGGGTTTAATGGAGGTTAACAAGGTACAGCCAACTTTCTAGCCAGGTTTTAACTTACCGGAGCTGAACAGAGATTAACAAGCCCAGGAGGTGTAAAGACACCTGCATGATTTAATGGGGTTAATGAAACTGTCAGAGGTTGGCTGAGAGGGACGGAACTGGAGCATGCTGCTGTTAACAGTCAATCTGGTTGAGGTCAACGGGCATTTATTAAACAGCTAAAGCCTGCTGTGTTCTGCCCTGGGCACCACAGAGGCACCAAGTCAAAAAAAGACAATATGGCAACCATGGTTAGTCCTGGTTGGTGATTTTGGAGTAAATTTGGCTTTCTTCTTTGTGCTTTCTTTGTATCATCTAAACTGGTTATAATGAGCATGAATCATTTTCCCCATAACTGTAAAATGACAAAGCATTTTTAAGTGCCCTCAAAGCACCTACTATACCTGCTTGCATAGTTTACATTACATATTCCTGAGACATGTAGAAAATAGTAAGAGAAACAACAATACAGTCTTAGATTTGGGCAGCACTGAAGTGTTGTGCAGCGCCGTCATCCATCACTGCTGTGGGTTTTTGTCACATGCTATGAAACAGTGATATACAAAGTCACCACTCGTAGTGGAAAAGCCAAAGAAAATCCTCATCTTCCGCCTCCCAAATTGGTACTGTTTTTTCGTTGAGCACTTACAATGTGACAGTCCCGATGGTAAGCACTGTACTTGCCTTGACAACCCTCTGAGATGAGTACTATTATTATTCCCATTTTACAGACGAATAAATCCTTTAGAGGGGTGAAATGGCTTGCCCAAGGTCACCAGAAAGTGGTGGGGATGAGTCCAGCAGGTTCCAGGGTCCACTATTTGGGGCTGCCTACTCATTGAGTAAGATACTATTTCATGAGAGTATTGTTTAGAACAATGAAGAACTGGGAACAACCTATATATTAACTAATAGGAGACTGGTTTTGAAAGCATGATATATATATATCATAGTTGTAAAATAATATTTAATGACATAGATATGCATACCAGCTTAGAAATACTATATATGTAAACGTATGCATACAGAGTATCTGTATACAGATTCCATATAGTATGTATACAGAGGCCAATCTTGCTGGTGGCTAGTCTTAGAGAATATGTATACAGAG